TATATAAGTAGGTGTTTGATTATACATAAGTTTGGCTCTGAAGAAGAGGGTCTGACCCTCGAAACGCATCAACCAACTATGGACGTTTAGAAAACTTTCCATGTCACTAACCCTGTATGATGGCTTGGAGGTGGTCTCGTTTTTATCTTTTGATATACTCGTACACAACGTGTTTGTGAGTACCCACTTGCTTTTATACATTTTAATTTAATTAATTATTAAATAAAATTAATTTATGTAAATGCACTAGGTCGGTGCACTGTCTTTTTTATTGTTCCTCTTGCAATTCAGAAGCACAGGGATCAATATTGCAGGAGGCAGTCTGCTGTGGGATGGGGACATGCTCTCCTACTTGCCCAGGCTGAACAGCAACAGGGCAGTACTGATTAGAATTGCAGGAGAAGGTGGTGAATTTGCTGGCATACTTTGTGAGGAGCGGGATTGGCTGCATTGATTGAGGGTGAGGAGCTCTGGTACCAGGCTTACCTTATGTTGCTGGTAAAATACAGGAATGTAATGAAGGCAAAGCTGATCATAGCAGCACCCCCTCCCCCTTCCTCTGCATGAAAACACTGCACCCAGAGCACATGCCCCTCCTGCATCCCCCTTTTCTGGCCTGCCCACACCTGATGGGACCATGCCGTCATATATTATATTATGTAAAATTATTCTAAAGGTTGGAATTAAAAAAAAATGTTATACTTACCTGCTCAATGCAATGGTCCTGCACAGAGCAGCAGCCGCTATCCTCTTATTTTTGAGTCCCTTGTTGGCACTCCTGGCTCCTCCCTCCAGTTGAGTGCCCCCCAATATGAAGCCTCTTGCTATAGAGGCACTTGAGCAGGCTCGCTCCTAAGCCGCACTTCTGTGAATGGACATTGGCCATTCACACAAAGATTCCAATTCCCGCTCTGCACTTATTTACTTGCTGTTCATGCACAAAACAGGAAATGGGAGAAAACCTCTCCACAGTGAACAGAAAATAATAACAAAAGAAAAAAAGATGCCTTGGGGTTCCCTAGACAGAAGTCTGCTATGGATTTAAGAGGAACCTCACCCCTCAAATCCATGCTATACTCCTAAAGGTGTCAGGGCTCAATAAAATCCTCAACCAGGACCATCCTCTCCATTAAGTATGGAACTGCATATTTATTTATGTTACCTTGGGATATTTTATGAACAGGGTCTATACAAATTGGGACTTTCATTGTGACTGACCCATAATTGTCGTGTTACATACTAATGTTTTAATTTTTAACGTGAAATGTTAAGACAGGGTCACTTCGGTTTTGTTGCAGGCAGGCTGGTAAGTGAGCTGGGAATTTTTGTTCTTTTTTCATATTCTTTGAACCCAGGTAGACCCAGAAGATATTTGCAGTAAAAGAGCTGCCAACATTTCTTTTCTACAAGTGGTGCTGCCTATGCTGAGAGAGGTAAAACCAGAATGGTGTGCAGAAGCTCTGAGCCACATGTTACATTCCTTACAAAATGCTTCTCTGCACAGAACAAGGGGGGGGGTTCCTTTTCATATTGTGGTCGTTTATGACACACCCCCATTAAGTCCTTTCAGAAAACATCTGGTAGAATTATGGGCCAAGTCGGAAGTCTCAGTCTGGGACACCTAGAGCACCCAGACAACCTACAGCGTGACACAACCAATCTCTTCTCCAGCTTCCCTATATGACAGCCCACCAAGCCCTCTGAATTTTTAGCAGCAGTGCTCCGCATATCATTATTTGCAGTATATTTATATATTTTTTTCTAACTCAAAAGTTACAATGTTAATGTAGTACCCTGCACCTAATATTTGTAGCAGTAAAAGCTAAATGTAACTTGTGTTTTTGTTGTCATTATTTTTATTACTTGAATTTATAGTTATAGATTACCATATTTGCACAGTAGCCTTGTAATGCTTACCCAAGACCTATGAGATTGGGGGTGTTGACAAAGACCCACTATTTGCTGAACGCTGGACATTTTAAGCAACCTGTGTGTATATGTGTACATAAGCTGTGTGTGTATGTTGATACATCTTGCTTGGGTTAGATTTAATGGTCTAGATCAGTGATGGCAAACCTTTTTGAGCCCGAGTGCCCAAACTGCAACCCAAAACCAACTTATTTCTTTCAAAGTGCCAACACTGCAATGAAACCTGAATATCGAGCTTTTGGTTTAGAAAAAACAACTCGTACAGTAGTGCAAACTAATTAACAGTACAGGGATGACCAGAGACTGCGGACACAGTACAGGGATGACCAGAGACTGCAGACACAGTACAGGGATGACCAGAGACTGCAGACACAGTACAGGGATGACCAGAGACTGCGGACACAGTACAGGGATGACCAGAGACTGCGGACACAGTACAGGGATGACCAGAGACTGCGGACACGGTACAGGAGATGACCAGAGACTGCGGACATGGTACAGGAGATGACCAGAAACTGCGGACACGGTACAGGGATGACCAGAGACTGCAGACACAGTACAGGGATGACCAGAGACTGCAGACATAGTACAGGGGATGACCAGAGACTGCAGACATAGTACAGGAGATGACCAGAGACTGCGAACACAGTACAGGAGATGACCAGAGACTGCGGACACAGTACAGGAGATGACCAGAGACTGCAGACACAGTACAGGGGATGACCAGAGACTGCGGACAGTACAGGGGATGACCAGAGACTGCGGACAGTACAGGGATGACCAGAGACTGCGGACACAGTACAGGGATGACCAGAGACTGCGGACAGTACAGGGATGACCAGAGACTGCGGACAGTACAGGAGATGACCAGAGACTGCGGAAAGCACAGGGATGACCAGAGACTGCGGACAGTACAGATGACTGCTGACCTTTGGGGAGGGAGGGGGGGGGATTTTTTTTATCTTACCTGTTCCTTTATCCAGCCGCGCGCTGTCTTCCCGGCTTCTGTAGTGTGGGCGCTCGTCGGACAGCCGGATGCCCAGTGCGCATGCGCGAGAAGCGCTGCGCTTTGTGATTGGTCCGGCGGCTTCTGGGATCTGTCATGTGTCCCAGGTACCGCCTTACCATTCACAAAGAGCACTGCTTCTTGCGCATGCGCACTTGGGACCCGGCTGTCACGCACACTACAGAAGCCGGGAAGACAGCGCGCCGCTGGATAGAGGGACAGGTATGGTCCCACTGCAGAGCTGAGCGGCCGGCCCGGTATTCTGACACGGCGGCGGTGGAAATACCGACCGGCCGCTCTATATTCGCTCCATAAGACGCACTGACATTTTCCCCCCTTTTTTGGGGGAAAAAAAGTGCGTCTTATGGAGCGAAAAATACGGTATTCTCCTGGCGTGCCGGCTGTGGCACGCGTGCCACGGGTTCGCCATCACTGGTCTAGATACAGTTAGAAAAAGTATGTGAACCCCTTTGGATTACGTGGAGTTTTGCATGAATTGGGCATACAATGAGCTCTGTCATCTAAGTCACAACAATAAATACACAGTCTGCTGAACATAATACTACACAAACATTAGATTTGGTTTAATTGCACATAACATGTAAACATTCACAGTGCAGGGAGGAAAAAGTATGTGAACCTTTGGACTTCATAACTGGTTGACCCTCCTTTGGCAGCAATAACCTCAACCAAACATTTCCTGTAGTTGCAGATCAGACCTGCACAATGATCTGGAGTAATTTTGGATCACTCCTCTTCACAAAATGGTTTCAGTGTAGCAATATTCTTGGGATGCTGGTGTGAATCGCTCTCTTAAGGTCATGCCACAGCATTTCAATCAGGTTGAGGTCAGGACTCTGACTGGGCCACTCCAGAAGGCGTATTCTGTGCTGTTGCAGCCATTGTTTTGTTGAATTACTGGTATGCTTTGGGTCATTGTCCTGTTGCATCACCCATCCTCTGCGGAGCTTCAGTTGGCGGACAGATGGTCGTACGTTTTCCTGCAAAATGTCTTGATAAACTCTGAATTCATTTTCCCATCAATGACAACAATCCGTCCAGGCCCTGAGGCAGCAAAGCAGCCCCAAACCATGATTCCCTCCACCATGTTTTACAGTGGGGATGAGGTTTTGATACTGTGCCTTTTTTTCCACACATAGTGTTGTGTGTTCTTCCCAAACAACTCAATCATCTGTCCACAGTAATTTTTGCCAGTAGTGCTGTGGAACATCCAGGTGCTCTTTTGCAAACTTCAAACGTGATGCAACATTCTTGACAGCAATGGCTTCCTCCGTGGTGTCCTCCCATGTACTCCATTCTTGTTTAATGTTTTCCTTATTGTAGATGTGTCATGTTAGCATGTGCCAGAGATTTCTGTAGGTCTTTAGCTGACACTCTGGGATTCTTCTTTACCTCATGCAGCATTCTGCGCTGTGCTCTTGCAGTCATTTTTACAGGACACCACGCCTAGGGAGAGTAGCAACAGTGCTAAACTTTCTCCTGTAGACAGTCTGTCTTACCCACATGAACATCAAGGCCTTTGGAGATACTTTTGCAACCCTTTCCAGCTTCATGCAAGTCAACAATTCTTGATCGTAGGTCTTCTGAGAGCTCTTTGGGTTCACATCACAGTGCTTCTTGAAACCAGTAAACCCAAAACAGGTGTGTGTTTTTTAAGGGCAGGACAGCTGTCAGCAACACATCCAATATCATCACACACTGATTGGAGTCAAGGTTGGCTCACTCCTGGCTCCAATTAGCTCTGGGAGAAGTCATTAAGCTAGGGCCTCACATACTTTTTCCTCCCTGCACTGTGAATGTTTACATGTTATGTGCAATTCATGGCAACATCTAATGTTTGTGTAGTATTATGTTACTGGTTCTTCATTGTTGTGACATGACGTTCAGCACATTTTATGCCCAATTCATGCAAAACTTAATCCCAAGGGTGCAACTGTACACTACCATTGTTGGCCAAAACTATTGGGACACCCTTCCAAATCATTGGATTCAGGTGTTCCAATCACCTCCATGGCCACACGTGTATAAAATCAAGAACCTAGGCATGCAGACTACTTTTACAAACATTTGTGAAAGAATGGGTTGCTCTCAGGAGCCCAGAGAATTCAAGCATGGTCCTGTGATAGGTTGCCACCTGTGCAATAAGTCCATCCGTGAAATTTCCTTGCTACGAAATATTTCATGGTCAACTGTTTGTGGTATTATAACAAAGTGGAAGCAACTGGGAACAACAGCAACTGAGCCACGAAATGGTAGGCAACGTAAAACGACAGAGCGGGGTCAGCACATGCTGAAGCTCACAGGGTCAATAGCTAAAGACCTCCAAACTTAGTGTGGCCTTCAGATTAGCACAACAACAGTGTATATCGAGCTTCATGGAATGGATTTCCATGGCCAAGCAGCTGCATCCAAGCCTTACATCACCAAGTGCAATGCAAAGCGTCGGATACAGTGGTGTAAAGCACACTGCCACTGGACGCTAGAGCAGTGGAGACGTGTTCTCTGGGGTGAGGAATCACGTTTCTCTGTATGGCAATCCAATGGATGTGTCTGGGTTCGGCGGTTGCCAGGAGATCAGTACTTGTCTGACTGCATTGTGCCAAGTGTAAAGTTTGTTGGAGGGAGAATTTAGTGTGGGGTTGTTTTTCAGGGGTTGGGCTTGGCCCTTTAGTTCCAGTAAAGGGAACTCTTAAGGTGCCAGAATAATAAAACATTTTGGACAATTTTAATACTCCCAACTTTGTGGGAGTTTGGGGATGGCCCCTTCCTGTTCCAACATGACTGCGCACCAGTACACAAAACAAGGTCCTTAAAGACATGGATGAGCGAGTTTGGGGTGGAGGAACTTGACTGGCCTGCACAGAATCCTGACCTCAAGCCGATTAGAACACCTTTGGGTTGAAATAAAGCAGAGATTGCGAGCCAGGCCTTCTCATCCAACATCAGTGCCTGACCTCACAAATGCACTTCTGGAAGAATGGCCAAATATTCCCATAGACACACTCCTATACATTGTGGACAGCCTTCCCAGAAGAGTTGAAGCTATTATAGCTACAAAGAGTGGGCCAACTCAATATTGAACCCTACGGAGTAAGACTGGGATGCCATGTGCGTGAAAAGGCAGACGTCCCAATACTTTTGGCAATATAGTGTATTTGTCTTCCAGTAAGGAGCCCTCACATTATACCCAACTTTTACTTGATGTGAGAAAAAAAAAATATGTAGCACACCCCCTAGGAGCTGCTGGTGAACGTGATTACTTTTCCCCAGGTAAAGCGCACACACAGCATTTTCTTCACTCTTCCACTGGCTTAAATAGAACAGCCTTTTTTATGTTTTATTGGAGCATTGAACTTGGGTGGGTGAAGGGAGCATGGGATATACCAAACTGGAGAACTTTGAGGACTCTTCTCATTGAGCTGCACAAAAATTCCCACAGAATCTCAACTGCTGATGGGTGACTATGACTTCTTCTAAAGGACCAAGAGCTACACACATTTACTAACATCCAGCACAAGGGTGATTACTTACAATACCACAGGATCATCGGTTGCCTCCCTTTGATATCCACTGAGCACTCTTTAGTGAGGGATATTCAGACTCACACCACCATAGGAAAGGTGGACACTCTTCCCCAATTTCCTACTGGCACTCTCCAGTTAGCTTCTCAGGCCCAAACTAAATACACAACTAGACTTTGTGTATAGGCCTCCAAGCTGAGGCTCCAGCTTGGACCTCAATATCTTCTAGCTGGCACCTCCAGTGATCCTGCCCCAGGGACACAGCCCTTGCAGGCTGCTCACTCTGTGCTTCCTCTCACTATGATTCTTTAATTGTCTAGAATACAAGGGAAAGTACACAGAGTAGCAGCCTGTGAGACACTGAACACGCCAGAAAATTCACCCCCTGCTCCATCGATTACAGAGGAGCTAAACTAAATTTACCCAACAACCTGCACTAATCTAGAAGGGTGCTACACCCAGTTGTTTCATAAAGTAACATTTTTATTACAGATTATAGCAAATATGGCATATACCAGCAAAAGAACATTTGATGTGGTCAGATTGCCATGAAACAATTCCTTTTGTGTACATTACAAATTGGAAAAATTATTTTTGATATTGAGTGACTGATGTGTGGGCCTAAGATCATTGAATTGCACATTTTAGAGGGAATCAATAGATCTGAAATGCAATCTTCACTTTCACAAAACTATGCAGCATACAGCATGAAAGCACTGCTGCTATAGCATTTTCCTCACCAAGATGCACTGTTGATAGTAAAATTCTTTAATTTGCAGAACGTACTGTATGCCAATGAACACTTTGCCATTTATCTAGCATGGCAATTGAGACCATTGAGACCACTGTCACTGTAACAATGGATGATATTCTCTGAAAGGCTGATGATCTCATTAGTCACAATGATGTATGGCTTAACAGGTTCCTGGTAGTGACTTTGGTGCTGGTAAATTAAAGTTGCCTGCATAAAGTTTTCACCCCATGGCAAAATGTCAAAATGATTTATAATCCCCACATCTACCACAAGCCTCCACATCAACAGAGATAAAACTTTGATTTGTATTTCAGATTGGCAGTAATACAAAACTGAAATATGTCTTCTAATTAAAATACTTGGACCCTGACTGGGTGGCTTCTTAAATGAATCTGCTTTCCATGAATAGTATCCAGGGGAAGAGGACTGAGGATTTAAACTGTAAACAGCAGCTACCAGCACTTGGGACACGCTTTATTACTGCTTTGTAGCATCCCTGGTGCTGTTTAAAACAAATATTTATTCACTAAACATCAACTTTAAAAAAAAAAACTAAATAAAACTGTAAAAAAAGTGCTAAAAAATGTATAATAAAATAAATAAAATGAACAAAAGTAGTTTAAAATTAACCCTGTCATCCTGTGTGCTTGCACTAATGAAACCAAGTGCATATGGTGCATGTGTTTGTAAACAGCAGTTGCTCAGCACATATTCGATACCACAATGAAAGCTGGAAACCGATGACTGATAAAGGCTTTTAAAGGGTCACTTATGGACAATTTTGGGCCCCATAGGTTTTTACTATTGCGTGCAATTTTAAGGCTTGACATTTTTGGTATCTAGTTATTCAATGCAAACCTATCTTTTATATTTTACAAAAAAAGTGATATTATATAGCTTGTTGTACACTAAAATTCACTTTAGTGTATTTTTTACTGAAAAGTTAGATTTGATAAACAGTTCTGCAGATATCATGTGACATGAAAAATTCAGACTGCCACAAGCCTTTGCTGTCATAAAATAGTTTGGAGGTTTTAAGTACTTTTAGCCCCCCAAAAATGCATATTCAAATGTGCTAAAAATAAAAGAATTGCTCCAGTAGTGAAGAAGTTTAATACCGTAAAGTAGAAGAGAGTCTCTGGAAATAATGTTGAAAGTCTGGCAATTTTGTGATGGTAAAATCATATTTTGAACTGTAACGTTTTTTAGTCTGGGTGCTTGTCACCTGGAGACAGACATTCCAGCCTCAGGAGACAAGCTTGCTTGCATCAGAACTGTGCATTCAACGTCCAATAGATCTATCATGGCACCAACCACACCCCAACTCAACAACTTCAAATATCAACATTGAACATGCACCCAATGATGCCATCTGGTGTTCATCACAGTGTTAGATCAGAATTTTTTTTTTCAAGCACATGCAAACAAGTTAGGCAAATGTCCAAAGACAGTTATGGCAATTATTAGCCACATTCTATTACATATTACTAAATGAAGATACAGCAGTATATTCTTTACTAGACTAGATTTTGATTCTGATACCTATGGTGCATCAACCAGATTATGTGCACTAAAGTTCACCACATACATTACAATATGATTATACAATTCCCTTTAGATCTACCAACAATGATGTAGTTAAGTGCAAGGACCTGCCGGACTGGATACAAATTAATTGGGTAGTTAAAGGAGAAGTACAGTCAAAGCTCTTTTAGCTGTATTTCTCCTGTGGATCACAGGTGTGCAGTTCATTCTGCACTCCTGTGAACCGTTCTCAGCTGACAGTGGGCTGAAGTCTGCTGTCTGCTGATGTCACTCAGCCTGTCCAGGCTGGGGAACGATCCTGACTTTAAAGTTGGGATCCACCCCAGAGTCTGGAGCGGCACCTGGCTCAACCTCTCAGAGAGCCAGCAGCTCCCTCCCCCTCCACAGGCCAGCACTTTAGTGAGCACTCGGGGGACAGAGCAAACAGAGGTGACTGTCAGTCACTGCTCTCTGCTCAGAATGGCTGTGTGAACTCAGTGATCAGCAGTCATGTGATTGCTGAGTTCTCACTCTTAGAGTCTGACCAATGCTTCATCCACCTAGGTAAGTATATAAAAAAAGAAAGAGCCCTACTTCTCTTTTAAAGTTCACCTTTACAGAAAAAATGTAAGGGTGAACTAACACTAGACATCCTGCCCACCCCCTGATCCCCACTGTACTTACCTCCAGGGTTGAAATCCCTGTTTTTCTCTATCAGCCCTTCCAGGATGGACCATATGGATTCTGAACCGGATTTATTCATTCAGAATACATCTGGTGCATCCTGGAAGGGCTAAAGGAGAAGACGGAGAAGAGCGGGGATTTCAAATCCCTGGACCACTAGAGTAGTTGTGGGGATTCGACAGCTCGGCTGACCTGGAGGTAAGTACAGATGGGGACTTGAGGGGTGGAAAGGGTGTCCGGTGTTGGTTTACCTTTACATTTTTTCTGTACAGGTGAGCTAACCCTTTAAGTTAGGTCCTCACATTACATGAGTTTTGGTAAATCTAAAGTTGAACGTACAATACATACCTTGTATGTTCAGATTGTAACATGTATGGTGAACCTTAGGCCTCAGTTCTCAACGGAAAGCATGAATGGTTACTGTACGGTAGCTATCTTCTATTCCTTCTACACACACTGCTATCATTATTTGACATTAGATAAGATCTGTGAACTGCAACCATGTCACTGATCGGTTTGTGAACCAAATTTATAATCTGATTGTAGAATCTCCTTTAGCTCTACGAACAACTATTTGGTTCTTGCCTGACTGGATACAGATTTATTGGATACATTAGATAAACCCATAGTTTTGGTAAAACTAATGTTTATTGTACAAGGATTGTATGGTCAGAATGTAACATTTATGGCAACCCTTACAGTCCTGCTGTAGTAGTTTTGCTTATGTCTGTTATTTAAATGTTTCCTTTTGACTTACCAGGGCTATTGGAATGACCTGTGGAAATGGTTGGTTGCCATAAGCAGGAGTGCAATATGGGGTGCAATAACTGACTCACGAACAACTAAACTGATGATCCTATGTCATCAATAGGTGTAAGCAGGGGCTGACTGACCATTTGCATTGTCTGAGGGCCCGGGGTCAGTAGGGGGCCTCATGACATGCCCCTGGTACCTTACATAGGCTTTTTTGGGTGTGGTTTGAGTGTGGGCGAGGACACGGGCCCCATGATCCCCTATTGCCCAGGGGCCCCATGAGTTGTCAGTCCGCCCCTGGGTGTAAGGGGTAGATGCCACCTAAGACAGCATCAAGACAGCCCCACATTAGGCGGCAATTGCAGTGTGTATGTGTGTGTGCGCGCACCCCCCAAACACACACAAACATAGCCTTGCACAACTGAGTAGTAAAAGTCCCTGCCTAACCACTGCAGCTATCACACAAGCAGGCACAGTGACAGCGCTTGACATG